AGTGTACAAAAGGTTATGTTGTATAGTTGGTGGAATTATTACAATCAAAACAACATTTTAGTTTGCTAATATGAATTAGCTTGCAGTTTCGCTAGCAGTTGCTTCCTACACTCCTGCTGCATGCTCCTGTTCAGCGTGCAGCTACGCGTCGCCCCCTCAATTTCGCGTAACCAGCCATCCTTCACAGCGAATGTAATTATTATTTCGGTTCAACTCAGACGTTGAATTTCCGCTTCGTCGAAGAGGATTTCACATGCCTAGAAAAAGGAAAAGGATGCTCACAGTCATCATGGAGCAATTATGACCCAGAGATCGCAAAAACGGATTCGGTCTCATCCATTTTAGCAGCAATGCCGTTTTGCTGCTTTGTTTCGCTGTCCATTTGCTTATTCTGTAAAATTGGATACGGTAGGTGCCGTGATGAAAAAATGTGAACTGCTTATCAAGTTGGAAACTTGATAAGCAGTTCACTTTTTTCATCACGGCAACTACCGTATCCAATTTTAGTCGGTCTTGCAACATCAATCTATCACAGTATTGATTGTGATAACATAATTCTTTACTCTATCCACTTCCTTCATTCGTAGCTGCACCACAAAAGGGTAGGGCCGCACATGGAAATGAGGATTGACCAGTTGCGCGCAGACCATATCATCGCGCTATCGGAAACTTTTGCTAAAAACACCTCGCCCCTTGAATTCTTTTTCCAATTCGACCCCCTTTTGCAACCTTCCTATCCTCCCATCCGAAGTTCCAAAATTTTTCCCTCAACGGAGGGAGTATACACCTCCGATCAGCTTACCAACTATCAGAAAATACGTTCTTCGCCTACTAAGGCAGCGTTCAGACTTCGGGCGAGCCGTTCGACGCAGTCGAAAGCATGCGCATCGATCGCGTCGAACGCGCGACCGAAGCGCTGCCGTCGCGAAGTCTGAACGCTGCCTAAGGGGTAACTAGTGCGCCTGAAAGTGAAAAAGTCAACGACTAAAAGAACTTGGTCATGAGACCAATTAGGACCACTATGCCAGTGGTCAAATACTACTACTTGTTGCCCTTTACAGAGCAGTAATGTGCACTGCTGGCGGAAAAATATTAGGTTGTCCGGAAAGTTCTTAGCGTTTTGTGCACCTAATCTTTGTACATTCACTGCTGATTAAAAACTCATTCTGCCTTGCTTCTCAGTAGTCCTGTAGAGAATTTCTTGCGCTATCTGATGGTATAATTGCGTTTTCATCACTGCTTTGAATAAACGCGCTCTTTTTTCAGAATTTTTTCGAAGCATAGTGGACAAGAGCACTTCGGACGCATTTTTTTCGACTATAAATATTGGCAAGCCGCGAAGCGCGAAACAGCTTCAGCAATTAAAACCGAGGTGATGGGGCCCTCCAATAGTGGGCTTGAGAAGCACTGTGCTGGCGATGGTAACAAAGTTCGTTCAGGAGATTTCAGCATTGAAGATGAACCTCATGGCAGTCGACCTAAAGCAATATCTGACGAGGATTTTGAGGAGATTTTGAAGGCTGCTCAAACAGGTTCGAGAGATAGAGAAGAGCTCGGATTGGCAATCCATGGTTCAGATGGTTGGAACGCATTGGGAAGGTGAAAAAACTCGACAATTGGGTGCCCCACAATCGGAGTGACCGGCAGGAATCGGCACGTCTCGAGGTTCCTTCTTCACTGCTTTTGCGCAAAAGAATTGACCCGTTTTTGAACGGATTTGTCACCTGTGATGAAAAATGGATCATGTATGATAACAGGAGACGTTCCGGACAGTGGTTGGATTTGGAGGACCACCGAGGTAATTCAAAGCCGAACCCTCGCGAAAAAAAATTCTGGTCAGGTTTGGTGGTCATCGGCTGTTGTAATCCACTATAACTTTTCATCACCAGGCCAAACCATCACAGCAGAACCCTACTGTGAACAAACCGACCAAATGTACCGAAAATATTGTCAGCTGCAGCCAACACTTATCAAAGAAGTTCCGATTCTTTTGCATGACAAGCCCGACGAACGTTTTTACAAACACTATCCATAAATTGAACGAATTGGGAGTTGAGTTCTACCTCACCCCATATTCTCTAGACCTTTCACCAACCGACTGTCACCTTTTCAGACATTTTCAGAACTTCCTTGCTGAAAAATACTTCATCAATTAAGACCAGGCAAAAAGACTTCGGGAGATTTCGTGGAATTCCTCGACACCCGTTTTTTTCTTTGATGGGATTTCTCGACTGCTGCCACATTGGCAAAAGTGTGCTGATTCGAATGGTGCTTATTTGGATTAAATCCGATGAGTGTTAAGAAAGTTATGATCGTTTAAAGTTAAACACCCAAAACGCAAAACGCTAAGAACTTTCCGGACAACCTAATAGCAAGTCAATTCCGGCAGCTCGAGGAGAGCCTGATGAGAGCTTGAGAGAGACTGATCTAGTCGGTATCGCCGCAATCGGTCGGGGCGGTGTCAAGAGACACGGAATGAGCCCACCTGCGGCTTTTACTACGTCTGGTTGTTCTGAAGTCGATCGCTAACCAGGGCGGGAGAAGCAGCCAATGTTAGCCTATTCAGCCTCTTCTGAAACCGCCCTGTGAAAACGGGCGGGCATTCGGCGTGACGGCATTCCAAGTCTCCTGACACCGCCCCGACTGATGCTATGACAGTCTGGTTCACCACAAGCTAGTAGGCTTCGTTTGCTGTGTGTGCCCCCTAAATGGGCCACATCGTCATTGTGCAAGACACAACTGGAAGTAATATTTGACCGCTGACAAAGAGGAGATTGGAGCTGGCCTCAGGACCTTTTTGTTGTCGATTTTTCAGTTCAAACGCGCTATTCATCCCTCGGCGGAAATTAATTGCGAGGTTACCAGTATGAGCAGCGTACTTACCTTTATACATCGCTATCTACAACATAGGAAAAAAACCCCCATGAAAAGCAACCCTTGTTTGGCCGCAAACAGCGTATAAAAAATACACCGGTTTTCTGACAGCAATTTATTGGAATGTGAAAAACTCAATGGAAACACAACATGAAGCTCACATTTATCAAGTTCTATCATGGCCTATCACAGAGGATTCAGTGAACATTTTACGTAACCAGCCATCCTTCACAGCGGACGTAATTCTTGTTTCTGTTCAGCTCTCGAAGACGTTGGACTTCAGCTTGGTCGAGAAGAACTTCACATGCCTGGAAAGTGAATGCTTACAGTCATCATCCCCTATTACCCAACTTGCAGAAGCTCTAGATGGCGCTGGCCAAATTACTGCAACTCGGATCTCCTGACCGACACCTTGTTATAGAAGACGCGGAACCAAATTACCTTCAAATTGTCCGAGATCCTATCAGGCTTCGAAGATTTCGGAATAATTCCGATGCCTTGACTGATGGCCCATGATAGCAAGACGATCTGAATTCAAGGAAAAAATCATCAAAGAACTTGCGAATCAGGTACAATCAAAAATGTGGAACGTTCAAGAAAGTCGAAAAGATCCTGCAAAAAGAAAGACGTGAAGGTTCACTGTTTCTGTTTGGACGACTATTTCAAGGCGAAACTAACCTGAGGAGATATTTCATATTTAGCAGCTAACTCTGTCACAACTGGATGCCCCATCAATTCAGGGTTATGTCGAGCCAAAGATGAGTATGCCTTAAAATTCATTTCTGGCGAGATTACAGTGTATGTGCAATGGTTAGGAGCACAGTTTGGCTTGGTGGTGGTACTGAGTGGAATTCAGCTAAGCTTTGACAGGACACCTTGTGAAGTCCTGTGAATTCCTGTTACCAAAGCACATTTGTACCTTTTTGCTGCTTCACAGGAGAACACAGGCTATTTAAGTTTACTAAATACAAAAAGAGTTAGCGAAAATGCAAAATCCCCCCCCCCCCCTCACCGCCAAGCCGAACAGCGCCAACAGCGGTTAGCATCAACAAAAGGAAAAGTTATAGGCATATTACACCATGCATAAAATGAACCTGAAAAAAGATGCCATTCTTCTTACAGTAATCCACAAGCTCTTGGCGAATGAAATGGGGATGAAACTCGACCTGGTTCACACAAGGTATATCCTGAAAATGAAGAATGCTCTAGGGATGGTGGTAATTATTGTGGTTTATAGGCTTGGTTCTAAGAACATGGCAAGCCCATTCACTATACTGCGGCTCTCACATCAACGCACGTCCTGCCGTTACCCAGCGTTCAGACTTGTCTCGATGCAACTGTCGCGATGCAACTGCCGCGCTGCAATTGTCGCGCTTCAATTGTACCAGACCCCAGCTTCCCTTTATGTTCTTTCTTCCGGTATTCAATCCCTTTTTCACTGTTTCTCATTTCTACCTGATTCTTAGCTCCTCTTTTTCACTTTAACATTGAATTTTAATGTAGTTTTTGATACAGGACACTGTGATAATGATTTTGTATACCGTTTTCGACTTTAATTATTCAGTCTCAGGGTTGCTATTGATGTTTGATGTCTTGCAGGGAAGCTGGGGTCAGGTACAATTGAAGCGTGACAGTTGCAGCCTCGCGACAGTTGCATCGCGACAAGTCTGAACGCTGGCTTAGGGAAAAGTTTTGCAGAATTCGACCTCCTTTGGGAGCTCATCCACTCACGTAACCTCCTCCCGCCCTTCCCCATGCCCTAACATATAGCGCACGTAGAAGGGAAAGCCGAGACAAGTAAAAAAGGGCATTTTCGACCGAACATATGACCTCGTCCCTTCATGACCAAAATAGAACCCCTCTCGTTGGGGATCCCCAACGTGCAACGGTTCCTACCGCTATTTGGAACCAGAGTTGCTCAGAAGGTCAGGGAAAGTGACTGGCATGAATGAAACGTTGACCACATATGCGTAGCGTATTCCGGAAGCTATTCATGAATGCCACCCTTTTCACCTCGTATGGTTGATATCGTCGCAGTCCGTGGAGGCGCGGTCAGGAGGGTTGGGATGAACCCACCTCAGACTCTCTTTCTATCATTATTTTTCGGCTTGCAATCTATACAGGAAGAAAACAAGCAGTGGTGGGAAACGCATCGGGTGCTCCATTCCATGTCTCATGACACTGCCCGGTCTGATTGGTGATGACATCAACTGTAGATGACGTCTCATTCGCGACATTTCAGAACGATTATTAAAAAGTTGAGTCGCAAATGGAAACTAAGTCAAACCTGGCCGTAAGCCTTGATCTCCTCGATATGTCGGACTTCATAATTGGAAACGCCAACGGACCGAATTTTTCCCATGCCTAAAAAATGAAAAAACTCATATCGCTGACCTTGATCGTTCTAACCATAGCAGCTGAAGGCCCAAGGGAGGGGCAATTTTGCAACTGGCAGGTCATATTCTTCATCAACGGAGAATGATTACCTACGTACTTTTCAAATGCTCCAGCGCCAGGTAGGTGCTCTTTCTATGCAACGCGTTGGCAGGATCGTCCAGTGGAGTGTCCTTAGTCTTTGGAAAATGAATAAGAACCAAATCGATGTAGCTGAAATAAAACTAATTGGAAATCCGGCAATGAGCACCATGTCTACAGTCCATATCTGAGGGCAAGAAGGGGAACGTTCCCAAGTAGACATTCGCCAGGGTTCAGACAAAGCAGCGGCAGAGTGCTGGAGAGCATAAGGATGGGAACACGCAGTCATCTTAGGAACCTTTTCTCCCTCCTACAGACTCCTCGCTCTAGGAAGGCGGACATCGTCAGTTGAGCTGGGAAGCTCGCTCAGCCAGTTCTGATAATGCAGTGAGGCGTGGCCTTCCGACTCGAAATAACGGCTTGCGTTCTCTGTAAGCGTATCATCCATTTCGATAACAATTTTGCAATTTTGGAGTCTGCCCGCCGAGTGACCCATCGCTATTGCCACGTCCAAATTCCACATCAGCCCGCCTCCAGGGATTAGCGGTTAATGTTCTTAAAAGCTGCCGGTAAGCACAGCAATGATGGAAGGCCTTATAGGCAATTAGACCATGTGATTATAGTCTTGTCGCCATGTCCATTAAAAAAAGGATAGTACTGCGGTAGCCCCGCGCCAAAAACCCATCCCCTTGACAGGCGCCCCGTCATTCCGCCACGATTGAGACTCTATGGTGCTTGTGAGAATGCTTCAGAAAAGGACCTTGTGCGTAGATTCCGCAGGGAGTCTTCGACCATGTTCAGAACGTCTTCAGACGAATCACTCGGGTATATCTTTGTCACCAAGAACACATCCTCCCTCCTGATGTTGTTTAGAGGAATACATGCCTAAATTATATCTTTAGAAGGGCAGTTCATTGAGGGAAACAAGGCACGTTCACCTCCGCATATGCGTCTTTAGGTTGTGGAGCTCGTTTTCCAAACGAATCGCTGGCCACTTTGACTGTAAATGTGAGGATCACGAAAGTATGGTTCATTCCTGCTGCGCGCTTCAGGCAATGCAAAAAGGCGCCGAGAAAGTTTTCCCTACGGTTCGCCAGACAATACTGCGCAATAAGCTTAAGCTTGTTCTATTTTTGAGGGGCTCGGATGTTTTTAGACAGTTTTTGTCTGGACAAAAGGTTCCGACTGATACTAAGACAAGCAACGCAAAATTTAGGAGTTCAGAAAGAATAAACCTATGTTCAGTTTTTTTTACCTCCCAAATGCGGCGCAGATTAAATACAACTGCATCTTTTGCTGACCCCCCACGAACTTGTACAGTGCTCTGCAGGGGTTCTGCGGACCTTCAGGTGGCGGCTTGTGCTGTGCTTTGATGCCAGCGGCCAAGCCAGTTTTCACACTTGTGATTGAGACCTTGCTAGAGAACGGCCTGACGTCTAGTGAAATCCCCCTCTCCGCAAACACCCGGCATCCGCAGCGAGTAATACTGTACCCCATGCAACATCCATTTCGAAAACGGGCTGAACAGCCTAGAAGACCACATTAGATAGAACCGACGACGTTCTGGTAACTTGGGTAAAGCTATTTTCATGGGCTGTGACATCCTTGTAGTTCAAAGGATTCGCGACTAAGATTAGATAATTGTTGAAATATATAGATAAAGCTTACCTCCAAAGCTTCACCTAAATCCGACTCATTATCGTAGACTTTAGCCGTGTCAAACAATCGGTATCCAGCAGCCAGTGCAGCATTCACCGCTGGCTTCATTCTTTCAAAATAGAAAATATGAATCTTGCCATTATCGACCCAATTAACATTGCGAAACTTTGCTTATACTTCATTCACGGCTGTCGGGCAGCGTGTCCACGGCTGTGAACGCTGCGTATCTATCAACTGTTTAGTGCTTTAAGTTGCACCGAGCAATCTGCTCCCTATCCTTCCCTCCACAATTCCTAGCGCCTGCACGAAAGATGCCATAGTACCTATAGTGCACCCAGAACTTAATAAGCGCTTGGAAGTGTGAAAATCCGTGGAGTACTGAGGCTTGAACGCTGCTAATCACTGCAATTCAAGACTCTCTTACCAGGTCACCCTTGATTTTGTATGTTCCAAGACCAATTAACGGTATCTCGTAACCAGTACGCAGCGTATAAGTACGACCAACGCCATTTGCTCCTGGCATTTCCATTTGCCTAAAAACAACCAAATTCATCTCGAGAAAACAGACTGACAATGAGTATTTCCTCTCGACTGGAGATGAAGCAGGTGTTGCTACTATTCGTCCAGCTTGTGCAAGCGTGTCCTTTCAGCAATACTGCGCGTGATATTTCACACCGATATCCGGATTTAAAGGCCCAAAATCGTGCGACTGTAACGTCTACCCTCGTCTTCCGGCAGTTGATTTAGGCCGGTCGTCAACTGGGCCGCATGCGCGGTGCCAGGAACTATTTGGCTATTTTCCGCGGCTAATTTAAGTCATTGTTGTCCTAAGTTTACACCCTTTTGTGCTACCTTTCCCAGTTATAAGCAGGCTCCTTATACTTCACAAGGTGTGCATGAATATATGACTATAATTACCTGGAAAAAGCAAATAGTTCCTGGCACGCGCTGCGGCCCATTGACGACCGCTCTAATCAACTGCCCGGATGACGAGGATAGGTAGCGGGGTGAAGAACAGAAAAAGTGCTGATCGGCTCTTGAAAAATCGTTGGAAGCGCCCTTAATTATTATCTCTTGGTTGCAGTTGGTTCAGCGAGAGGCGACGATTCGCTGAGATAGGACGAGCATGACGAGGATCCCAACGTGGGGAGTAGTCACTGCCGCTCTCAACTCGCAGTATCCCAGCAGTTGCGGTAGAGACTCCAAAGCACCCGCTTAAAAAGTCTGCCGAACGCTTTCTGAGTAGCATCTGCACTTGCATTGTCCATTCGTGCCACGACCTCTCTCTCTGTATACAGTACTTCTTTTCACAACGCTCCCCCTCTTCATTTCTGCTCTAGTACGAGCACTCTTATGCCCTTCCCATCTGCGCTTACACCTGCACTTCCTTGACTTCCTATCAACTTTTCCCAGTTAACCTGAAAATCCCCAGCTTTTTCTGAAAAAATATCAAAAAAAAAAACTACCGGTCGAGAGGGATAAGGGGCATCACTCATCAGTTACCAAAATTGACCATCATATGCAGATATACAGGGGCAATAAAAAAGACCCTGTGATTGTGGAGGGTACTCACAAAGCTTTTTTTGCACCCAATGACGCAGGGGTAGTTATTTGATTGCCGTGAACAGCACTACTGACACTAGGCCGTCAGCCACTGTCACGCTAGAATCGAGCCCAATCCCTAGAACCTCACTATAGTAAAGAACCGCGGATATGCATTAGTGCTGCTTTGGGTCTTGCCGATTATTTAGGTTAATTTGAACACGACGGCAAAAAATACGAGATGCACTTCACCTTGCCGCGACTGCGGAGCGATCCAGGAGTGCTTGCTGCTCTGCTATAGAGAATACTGGCACAAATAACGACATGGGCCTTTCAGGTAGCTTTATCACCCTGTCGAGTAGCAACTCTTGATAATCACTTCTACGGACAAATTACTTTTTACGTCTCCCTTCCCCTGTGTATCAGGAGGGGCTAGCTGCAAGTATGGAATCTATCAGGATTGACCGCAGAGACCCTGTTAATTAGCGAAGCCATTTGTCTCACTGCCTGCGCGTGCTGTAAACATGTACATGGAAAATGTGCAGGTGATCGTTGGAAAACCATTACAGGAGCAGATAGTGATGAAAAAGAGAATTTCAGGAGAAAAACGATACAGCGTGGAATAAATCAGTTTATTAGTCGTTCCTCCCGCCCCCCCTTCTTAATATAAGCATGAAATCAAGAAATCGCGCAAGAACTACTTGAAGACACAGTCTACGCCGATAGTGAGGGCGGAGTCAGTCCAACCACTGTGCATCCTGAAAATAAGAGGCGCCTCGATGAAGAAGGCATGATGGGAGGCCTGGCTCCACCCATACTATCAGCGTGGACTGCTCCTTTAAAGCACACGCCAACCGTAACACCGAATATAATGTTGATTACGATCTAGCTTATGCAGTGATTCTATCTCTTCGCTACTCAGCCGGAAGCTCGTCACCTGAAACACGGAGACATATGGGAAATCAATGGAGAAATCAAATCAGCGACTTCCGTTATTCAATGGAAGAGCTTGTGCTGACGGCTGTAGTGGAGCCTTTGAAATGGACTTTGAGAGAGCAGCCAGTAAGCACGAGTCCTAGGGTGCTTCACTTACACCCTTAGCGCGATCTGTTCCTTGAAGCTGGGATAGTCGTCTACTTTAGAACTAACACTAACCTCCAGATTTGTCTTTGATTCGTTGAGGACTTGTAGACTTGGGCACGATTCCTACCCCTTGACTCAGCGCGAACGATAAGAGAATTATCTGGAACATAATGAAATATGGCACCAGAAGATAGCCTGATCGTAAACTTACCGGAACTGTAGTGTTGTGTGTTTCTGCTAGATTTACAACCACCGGATCGTTGATGAGTGCTGGTTCTTGTCGAGCGAGCGAGGAGAATGCCTGAAGAAACTCTTCATTATGAAAAGGTACAGTTTCCTGCACTGTTCAAGTAGCCCAGCCTGTAACCTCAGAGGCTATCCCAGTTTCCTGGTGGGTGACGAGGCGCTGTGGTCGTCACAAGCCGAAGGAGCGCTATTCGTAGAAGCTGCTACACCCTTTCCGAGAACAGCGACGACTTATGCAGCGGCCCTATACGCACTGATGTAACCCTTTGCGCTCATGTTGTGGAAGACCGAACTTTGTCCTGTTGCTGATCTTCCAGCTAGTTTCATCGTTATCACCTCGCCGCCTCTGATCTCTCGTCCGCGCAGTGGTGCTTCACTTTTTCGAATATTACGTCCGATCCTGAGGCCTCATTTAGCACCTCTCTGACGGTGTTGAGTCAAATGGCAGAAACCATTCATGTTTGATTCACAAAACCCAAAATGTTCCATCACAGAGGATGTATCCATCACGGAGGATGTATTCGAAGTCTTCGTACCGATAAAGCCATCGGGATCATTGAACATTCCATCAAGAGTGCGCCCCTTCTGTTTGCCAGAAAGTACAGGGGGGGGGCCAAAAAAGTCACTTTCCTTCATTGACTTTCGAGGCGCTATAAGTTACACTTTATTAAATTCTGATCGGACATTTTTACCACCATATTAAAGAGCATATTAAATACTATTATGACACTCCGCCACAGCCTTCTGGAGGAGCGCCATCGAGAGATTCTGGCACGCGACCGCGATGTGGTCCCTGAGATCAGCGAGATAGTCGATTTCTCCGCCACCGTAGACCACCCTATTGAACTCCGAACCGGGTAATTGAGGGGATTCAGGTCAGGTGACCTACTTGGATATTCCATCTTCTTTAGGTACTCAGCCCCCTTCCATTCCAAGTAGGCGAGAGTTTCTCCAATGCCCTTCGATTCCATGTGGTGGCACCCAATGCTGTAGCAGTACAAAGTTTCCAAGAAGGTACGGGCGACGACATGTGAGGAGGATATTCTTCACGAGTTGCTCAATGTAACCGCCAGCGCTCACCTTCAGTCCGGGGTCCACGAAGAAAATATTGGTCTTTCCATTCCAGGTACGTCCGGTCCATACCATCAACCCGCGCCTTGGCGACTGCGGTGAAGATGATGTCCTAGACCGTGGCGACGTTGTCGGAGCTGCTCGATGTTGGAGGTCCAGATCGAGAGTACTGGTCTCCAGGTAGCTATCCATGGGTGACTCCATACTAGAAGTTTCGCAGCTGTTTGGAGGTGACATGAATTCCAAAGGTCTTCTCCAGTCAGGCTGCGACTGGAGATGACTTCATATTTTGGTGTACATGAAGGTGATGGGCGAGAGCCAGCTCCTGCTTATAGAGGAACATCTTGGGTATCTTCCGCCCTGGTACTCGTATCCACGTCCTCTGTCTGGGCTGCGAAAACTTTGCTGATATGTGACTCGGTCGAAGTGACTTTTTTTGGCCCCCCCTGTATAATTCCGTGCATGAAGTAAAACAACAAACCTGAAAGAAAATTCCCTCCTTCTTACAATACTCCTTTAGTTCGTCTCGCGTAAAATGAGGGTGATACTCGACTTGGTTAGCACATGGCATCATCTGAAAGCGCAGTTGACCGGAAGTTTAAGTGATTGAAAGCATAATTAACTACTGTAAAAAGCTAGCTGCTTGTTACCTTTCCATAACTTTTAATTTCTTCTATATGTCGGGACTCGTAATTTGACACTCCAACAGATCGGATTTTACCCTCATCTGAAAGAACAATTGACCTTTTTTTACATACGACGCAACACGGTGGACCAGGGATAAGTTCCTAATTCGACATCCACTTTCTAAGAATTGAATACTTCTCGGTTTTCTCAATAAGGGAACTACTGAACGAAAATCTGAAAGTTATATCTGCGTGATGGTGCAAGATCTGATGCGTAAGTTTCACGAATAATACAAGCTCGAACGCAACAATCCTTTTGGAATGAGCGTTCGCTACTCACCACTGAAATTATTCGGAGAAAATGAACATGAAGGATGATGAGTTGAAAAGGGTTCTACACATTAGGTAAAAGTCAAGTCTATCATGCACTTCTTTGCAGTGGACGGGGTGCTGTCGTGGCAACGGGGCTCCTTGACATGAACATCGCCTTAGGGTGAAATATGGGTAAGTCTTTCAACCCGCTCGAGGTCGGCTAACTGGTACCCACGAGAGTATGTAACCTCTGACTTCTACTTCCTCAGCGGGAGGTATAGGCCAAATATCCTTGAAAATGTAACCATGACTCTCCGTTGGAGTACAATCCATCAGAAGATTGACCAGTATTCCCGTTTCTTTGAAACTTTTTCCCGCCTTTTCACCCCTTTGTACCATTGCCTTCTTCAATACGGTTTCACATAAAACTGCAAAACAAGCTTTGTCGTCTTCCAGCTCTTCCCCAGTAGCGGTACAACTCGCTCTGGAGAGGAGAAAGGCTTGACTACCCTGGTTGGTATCGTATCTCAGAGCAACGGAGATGCTTCACGACATCTCTTATAGCTGCGTTGCTTGGAAATAAGCTTTCCCTAATAAGAACCAGTTCCGTGCAGATTATTCATTTATTGAAATATATACGAAGGCTTGCCAAAAGCCCATCAAAGGACCCGGAAAACAAAGCTCCAGGTTGCACAACAAGGGCTGAAATTAAGGAATGTTGAGCGAGTTATCCACATCTCCACAACCACTACAATACCGCCCGAATTTGAAGCTCTTTCTTCCTCCGAGGGAGCATTCCACGCTGGTCACATTGGTGAATCCGGCCTACCGTAGTGCCTTCCTATGAGCCCTCCCTCCTCCCTAAAACGGTGAAAGATGAGGGACGTGCCAGCGAGGAAGGCACGATGACAGACTCCGTCCCGCCCATGTTTCGAGTACGGCACACGCCTCTAATGATTCCCCAACTGAAAGCTCACACCCCTGACGAGAAGCGCTGAAGCCAGTAGATACCGATCAGCTACAATGGCAACAGAATCAGCGACATCATGTTGAAACTGTGACTAACACCGTTCATGGAGAACAGAACAAACCTTTCATCTTCTCAAGCTCGAGATAGGTGAGCTTCCGATGAAGCGGATTCTTTTCGTCATTCTCGTCCGAATCCTGAGCTTTCGGGTAGTGAATAAGGACCATGTCGAGATAGCTGCAAGGCTACTTTCCGGGTAGACACTTCTTATTCTGTGGAACGAACATTACTTACTCTGTTTTGAGATTATCAAGAGATTCGTCAACAAGTTGTCTGGCAGCAACCGCTGGATCATTGCGATCAGGGAAGAATTTGGTGGTGAGGAAAATATCGGTGCGCGACAAGCCGTGCTTCGGAAGCAGTTCCTGAACATCCCAGTGTCCAGATAAAATTGGATTAAGACTGGCGTTTGGGATCATTGAGTACTGAAACCCACTGCTAGTGCTGATCCCAACTCCGGCTCATTCACGTAGTACTTAGCGGTGTCGAACATACGATAGCCACAACCCAATGCCGCATCGACTGCTGGTTTCACCTGCAATGATTTTCTTTACTTGTCTGCCCTGGACGTTATCACAAGAACGATAAGTTTCATGTACAAGAGTTCTACTTTAGCCAGCACCTGACTCCAACTGCTGGCGAGAGTGCTACCATTACACCGAGGCCAAGTGCTGCAATGGTATTTACCGTAGCCTATATGGTATTAACCATTAAAGGCAGTTGACACGATGATTTGGTGCTTGGCCTAAAATGCTAGTAGAGCGCTATATAGTGGGGAAATGGCGAAAGAACGGAGTGAAACGGTCAAAATCCTGCGAAAAAGAGCCTCCTTTCACTGTGTTAGTAATCAATTTTGGTTCCCGTAGGCATCTTGCCAATAACCGCTACCGAAGGTACGGCTGCATATGTGTACTCATATATCCATGCAGCATCACGGCCGCTTCATAATTTGCTTAGCAAATGAATCGATTAGAGCGTCAGGAACGGTCGTCCATTTGTGGGCGGGCGGGCGCGGGCGTTTGGGACGTAAAGTTGTGGCTTGATAGGGCCCTTATAAGGGCACCTTCCTTGGAAAAGGCATTATGCAGCGCCTGCTCAGGGTCGCGGAATTCCGTCCTGCCAGGCGTATTAGTCCTACTCGTCTTGGAGGATTTATCGTGCCAACTGCCTTTAAGTGAACTAAGCTACATAAGTGGTGTAATTGTAGCGCTTTTGACTAAATACCGTGAGATCTGTGTTGGGTCTTTTGTGAGGCATTTTTGTGAACACCCTACGTTGGGAAGTAGTTATTAGTATAATCAATATATGCACCTCGCACCTGGGCTCCAGTGATTTTATAGGTTCCCAGACCTACTAGAGGTATATGGAATCCTGTGTTGAGTTTGGCAGCGCCTCCACGAACTGCTTGAAAAGTGGAAGCCATTCCTGAAGAACAGGGGTATAGGAAGCACTCGCTTTATCATTCAAAAACGTGGAGACATATAGAGGAACAGCAGGAAAGCAAATGAGCTATTGCAGCGGGCTTGTGTATTTTTGAGCAGCTGGTACGTCTAGCTGAATAATCGTTGAATTTGGTTGACCTAGCCACAGAAGAAATCATAATCACAATCAGAAATCATCGTAGAGCACAAGAAAACGTGTGAATGGAGTCAAGTATTGACTGTTCGATCACTGATGCTAGACCAGTGTCGAGCTTTCCCGCAAGACTGACATTCCTGCACCAAAAGTTGGACGAGATATGCTCGAAAAAGCGGGAATGATGAAGAGGGGGTGCTTCGGTACCTCAATTTTTTTTGTAGAAGCACGAACGCAGAACCAAGTCTATGCCTACGGCTGCAATGTTCTTCGCCTATGACGTCACACATGATTCGAAAACGCACCCAGGCCCTAGAAGGAACATGGGATGGTCTCGGACCCCGAGCTTACAAGCATTAACTTTTAAGAATACAGATGACAAGCTGCTTGAGTACTACCATGAGGAGTTACAAGGGCTCCTGGCGGAAGATCATCATAACAATGAACTTCTTCATCATAACTTCCGAGCGGTTCTATGCACAGAACAAAACCGCAACTGTCGGTTTATGTTGGCCGCTCCTTGATGAGTGGATCGGCAAACGGATGGTGCCACACAACTGCAAGAAGGCCATCATGGTCATTTTTAATAGGCCTCAATTAATCGTATTCATTGTACAGTGGTCGGCTGCAGAACACCATCATAACATTCTTCTCATGCTGCTTCGGCTTAGGAGGTTATTGAGCAGTCTCATTCATGATGTCCAGCCGGTGAGCAGATCATCTGCGGGTGTCGTACACAATCCATTTCTCATCGTACGTTACAACACGAGTCGTTTCTGTTTCGTGTCGTTTGGTTTCTGATTCGTGAAAGGCAAGTTGGAGGAATGGCTAAAAATGGTAATCCTTGTCCCTGACTTAGTTGCCTGCAGCACCCAATTATCAAGTTTCATGACCTACATCTTCCTGCATGTGGATTCAAACCGTCTTGCTTAAATCCTTCACTCCCGAGGCAGTGCCCTCTCACATTGCTCAACTCGCTCATGTCTATTTCCACAGGAGTTGGCACGCTTACCACGCACATGGTAAGGGGGCAAGTCCCGGATATGCCTGCACGAGGCCATCGAAGCCCTCTATCGAAGCCCTCCGCCTCCAGACTCCGCCCCTAATGACCGACTTCCAGTGAAAAATGAGATTGCAGCACGAAAGAGCATGAT